TGGTCTTGTAAGTATTTTAAGTCCTCTTCACTTTCAGCAAGAAAGGTTGTATCATCTTCATATCACAGGGTGTTTGTTTGTCTTTATTATTATTTATTTCTGTTAGTTCTAGGAACATCCTTTATAAGACTGTTTAATATTGCTCTCTCTTTTTTTTTGTTGTTGTTGTAAAGTTTTTATTGTGAATTGAGTGATAGTTTACACTCATAGTTTCAGTGCATTGATTACAATCCCCTTCATATCTCATCATTCAACAGTATTTGTTTCTATTCCCTCTGTTTGTTTTTTTGAGGGGGAAGATGTTCACAGAAACATTCAGGGATATGTGATCATTTATACATTAAACACCCATAGGGTGCATTCTGTAAGCCTCTCCCCTGGCCACCAGCACACCACCTTTCTCTTTCTATGAATCTAGAGTCCTCAACTCCTCTCTCTCCATGTCATCATCTTTACCTCCATCTTTGGTGTTGCTGCTTCTCTAGATGGGGTCCCACATTCTGCCCGTGCTTTTCTCCCTTAATGGTCCTCAGGTCCTGTATTCCTGGAATGTAAGATTAACAACTCCATCTTTTTGTTACAAACTTTCACAGGTTTTTAATGAGTCTTCCTCCAATCCCAATGCCACGTTCTTCTTCATATAATGCCACTTCCTGGATTATTTCCTTAGCAGACAGATTGAATAAGTATGGTGAGAGAATACAACCATTTCCTAATTGTAAACCATTCAGTATTCCCTTGTTCTGTTCAAACAACTGCCGAATACTCATGCTCCACAGTGGTGTCTGTTTCTTGTCATGATGCATACAATTGAAAACTTTGTCATAGTCTGTAAGGTACAGGTCAACATCTTTCTGGTATTTTCTGCTTTCAGCCGAGATTCGTCTTTTGTTAGCAGTAATATCCCTTGTTTCACGTCCACATCTGAATCCATACGGGACCTCTGGTAGCTCCTTGTCAATTTACTGCTGCAGCAGTTTTGGAATTATTTTTAGGAAAATTTTCTTGAATGCGATATTGATGATATTGTGCATTCTGCTGCATCACTTCACTTTGGAATGAGCACAGATACACATCTTTTCCAAACAGTTGGCCTGGTAGCTGTCTTCCAGATATCTTGACATAGATGAGTTGAATGTCTCCAGTGCTGCCTCAGTTTGTTGAAAGATTTCAATTTATGTTCCGTAAGTTCTTAGAGCCTTGTTCATTGCCAATGTCTTCAGTTCAGCTTTGTCTTCTTCCGTTAGAATCATTGGCTCTTGATCATATGATACCTCTTGAAATGGTTGAACTTTGACCATTTCTTTTTGGTACAGTGACTCAGTATTCTTTCCATCTTACTTTGATGCTTTCTGCATCATTCAGTGTTTTGAATACTTTAATAATGAAAGTTAAGGCTTGAACACTTTACTCAGTTCTTTCCTCTTGAGACGTGCAGAGCATATTTTTCCCTTTTGGGTTTCTAACTCCAGGTCTTTGTACATTTTATGATAATATTTGACTTTGTCTTCTCTGGCTGCCCTTTGAGACATTTTCTATTGAGCTCTTTTACCTCATTTCCATTTTCTTCAGCATCTCTATACTGGAGAACACGTTTCCTTCTCTTCTAACATCCATTGTAGTCTTTTCCTTCTTTCTTGTCTTCTTAATGACCTTTTGCTCTCTTACTGTATGATGTTCTTGATGTCGTCTCACAATTCCTTTGGTCTTTAGACATCAGTGTCTAATTAATCAAATCTGTTCTTGAGATGATCTCTAAATTCAGGTGATATATTTTCAGGGGCATATTTTGACTCTCATGGGCTTTTTAAAATTTTCTTCAGCTTCAGCCTGAATTAGCATATGAGCAAATGATGATCTGTTCCACAGATTGTCCCTAGTCTTGTTTTGGCTGACCATATGGAACTCTTCTCTTTCCATAGATGTAGTCAATTTGATTTCTATGTATTCCATCTGGTGAGGTCCATGTGTTGTTTAAGAGAGGTATTGCAATGAAGAAGTCACCAGTATTGCAGCATTTTATCGTGTAACCTCTAACATGATACTTCTGTCACCAAGACCACATTTTCCAGCTACTGATCTTTTATCCTTGTTTCCAACCTTTGCATTCTTAATCATCTGTAATTATCAATACATCTTGGTTGCATGTTTGATTAATTTCAATTTAAAGATGGTTGTATTCTTAAGTTTTGTTGACACTGGCTTTAGTGGTTGGTGCTTAAATTTGAATAATAGTTTTATTAACTGGCCTTCTTTTGGGTGTATGGATATTATCCAATCACAGTCAGCCTTGTACTTCAAGATATATCTCGAAGTGTTCTTTTTGATGATAAATGTGATGCCATTTCTCTTCAATTTTTATTCTCTGCGTACTAAACCATGTAATTATCAGGCTTAAAATGTCCATTTCGGCTCACTAATACCTAGGATATTGTTGTTAATGCGTTCTGTTGAATTTTTTTCAATTTTCCTAGTTTTGTACTTTGTATATTCTATTTTCTGATTATTATTGGGTGTATATAGCTGTTTCTCATAATTTTAAGTTGTGCCCTATAAGCAAATGTGGTAGTGAGAGCTTTACTCCATTTTTGGTCATCATGGTCAACTCTGCTTTGAGGAGGCAGCTAGCTCTTCCCCATTCATATTTTGAGTGTCTTCCAACCTGAGGGGCTCATCTCCCGACACTATATCTGAGAATATTGGTGCTCTCCATCATGATTCAATATTCAATATTCTTGTTCTGTCTGATAGTGCTGCACTGCTATTTATATTGTTTTCATTAACTAAATATTCAGAAGTAGTATGTCTTTCTTTCTTCTTTGTCTTAATCTGGAAGCTCAGCTGAAACATGTCCACCATGGTTGACCATGCTGGTAGTTAAAGTGGCATAGCTTCCAGTATCACAGTAGCACACAAGCCTTCACAGTATGGCAAACTGACCGACGTGTGGTGGATACTTAAAGTTAGGTTTACTGAAGTAGAATCATTAATGATAAATGAAATATACCAAGTAACCCTTTAAAAAAATACTTTTTAATTTGTAAACTAAAGCAGCCTTCTATTCAGCAGTTTCTACACATCGTGCTCAGTGACACTGATTTTGTTTTTCAGTTTGTGTCTTGTCAGTTCCCTTATTATATTGGTAAATTATTTTTATATTGGAAATCATTTTAATTGTAAATTCTGGAGCTTCATCTTACATTTCTGTTAACTCTCTTACTAAGAGAGGTTTGTCTTTGTCATCAGTAATACTATTGCCCATATACTATGTACCAAGTTATGTTCTGCTTGTCATCATGTAATTGTCCTTACAGAATTCAAGTAGCTCTTTTGAGAATAGCCTTTGCTGAAGAAATAGTGGGTTTTTTCCTTTACTCCTTTAATGTTGTCACTTTTTAATCTGGATTATGAATGTATTTTGTCACTTTTGGGAAATATCTCATTATTTTAAGCAAGATGTATCTCACTTTTTCAAATCACTCAGCAATACTTATTGAGCACTTCTTTTGGATTTCTATTCACCTATTTTATTCTAATTTAAATTCCTGGATTATGTATGTTTTATGAGAAGCACAGGGGTGCGTTGGTATGGGTTTACATATTTTTATATGAAAATGTAACAAAATATCCTATTAATTTACAAAAAATAAAATGTATTTTAAACAGAACCCAATGTAATACTATTAGCTGACAGTTTTTAAGAAAAATATTAAATGTACACCTTAATATTCATTATAGGAGAAAGAGCACAATAAAGAACCAGATTCAAATTTAGACAAAGAAGCAGAAGACAAAGATGCACCAAGGACTGAGGAAAACAAAGTACAGCAGAATGGGAATTGTCAGCCAAATGAAGAAAACCTCTCTGCTAAAACAGAAGCAGTATAGGACCAACAGATACACCTCTAAACTCAACGCTGGAATAAGATCCAAAGCTTTTAATTCTCTCAACAAGATGTAAACAGTGAAGATAACTAGTTGGACATATCGATGTGAGCTAACAGCTTTTTCAGTTGTTAGGTGACTTTCTGACCATCTTGTTAACTGAGTAAGAAAGTAAAGCATGGACATCATGAAAATAACAGATGTTACCCAAACTCCTCATCTTCTAAAATCTGTGCATTTCCATGGTGGTTGACACACTTGTCATGTGGTTTATTAGTGTTTGCCAAGAACTAGTACAAATCAATGGACCATCACAGATCCAGATTTGTACTGTCCATAAAGACTGGAGATTAGCAATGAAAGCTCCTTAAAAAAAAAAAAAAAAAGCTAGTTACTGAATTTTGTATTGTTTCACTTTTTTAAAATTTTCATTATATACAAGTTGATGATGTGCTTGAAATTGGTGCAAATATATACACACCCTTGTAAGTGCAAAGTGTAAGAAGTTTTAACATTTACTTCACAGAATTTACAGTGATTGTGTTAAATTCTCACTATTGTGTTTTCCTTTGCTCACTGTTTAGGAGAGCAGATTTTCTTTGAAATAGTTTTACATATTAAAATTGCTTAAATATGTGGTTTAGAAAACATCTGACAATGCATGCTACTGTTCTGTTACAAAAGGAAGAGCAGCAACTGTTTTGAATACTAATAGTAATGTATTAGTATTCAGTGTTCAGAATCACTGAGTATCCCCATAAAGTGAGCATTTCTTTTAGAACTTCTTTGACATTTCCACGGTTTTTATGACTAATATTGCAGTGTCTTGTCAGCTATAAGTGGCAAAGGTGCCCTTTTATAAAAAGGAAACTTGGGTTTTCAAGGTGGGCTATGAGAGCACAAGCTGAAGCTTTAGTGCCTTCTAAAATGTGGTGTAATGTAGAGTTTTATATGTGCTAGTCATTCTTAATCTGGGTTTTCCAGTCATGCCCATAGAGAAGTGTGCAACTGATACTTGAGAAGAGCTTCTTACTTAGGTTACCTAATATTGGAGGGAGGGAGTCCTGTTTTGAAAAATGACTTCAGAGCTGAAAACAAAAATATAGTTTGGGGACCATCAGTTTTATACTGTGATAATTGAAAACAAAGCCTGTTCTTACTTTCCGTAAATCAAAGGAGACCCTTTAGTTATTTATCTACATTGGATGGCCTTAATTATTACCTCTCAATCATTTTTCATAAATAATGTGCTGAAATGATACCCAAATGAAGTACTTTGGGAGCATACAAGTAGGCTTCAAAATGTTCATGGAAAAATTCCATTCTCTTTTAATTCCATTTTTCTCTGAACTTTTTGTAGCCCTTTCATATTTGAGGTTACTTGTTTTATGTTTAAAGATATGTTTACTTGAGTTTAAAATATAGGTCATCTGTCCTTATGCTCACTTTTTGCAGAAAATATGTAAGTAGTAAAATGACAACATTGCCAATGTTTTCCTTAGAACTGTAACGCGCAGTTTCAGAACTCTTTTCATTATTGTTATATTTCCAAAAAATGTATTCTGCCTTTTAATTAGTGTGTTTAAAAAATCAAGTACAATTATTTTAATGCAACCTAATACAATCAAATTACTCAGTTGCCTTACCTCATGGGAATAGTTACTTTCATAGTTTAAAAAGCTGAGTAGTATGTAAATTACTTGGTTTCAACTTGAGTTTTTCATTTAATGTTAATACTATTGGAACTTGAGTGTTTGGTGAAGAGTGGAGAGAATTGTCCTTATTGTAATGAAGCCTAGTTTGATTATGAAGCTGCTTAATCACTCTTCATGTGTTCAGAAATACTGTGTGTGTGTTTTTTTTCCTTTTCCCTTTTTGTCACTGTAAACATTTAAATTTTGGAAAATGCTTTACTATGTAAAGTATAGATTATAGATGGTCATTTTAATCATTCAACCACATACGGTTGGCTAGTAAACAGCTTTTTCTGATCCAAGAATGCTTGGGTGCATATGGAAGGATTGTGAAGGAATGTGTGTCTTGCATCAGCAGCTGTCTATTTATGATATGTAAGTAGAATAGAGAAAATGTTTGAATCTTTGTTATTTTTAGTGCCATTTCTTTAATAAAGCTAAGTATTTTAGAGGAAAGTATTTGTTTATGTATTTCAAAAACGCATTTTAGTTTCGTCCTGCTCGTTTTAGTTGGCCTAGAGATTGTTTTGACATGGAGTTTTTTTTTATGTTTGTGTGTATAAAACCATCATTTAAAGCTTGAGTGTCTTCTTGTATTTGGACTTTATTATTAAATGTTTCTTATGGTGATAGTTGCATATTTAATTTGGTTCCTGCTGTTAATTATTATTTTTCTTGCTGGTGATATTTATTCAAGATAATTGCTAATCTTAAAGATGCTGACTGTTCACTTAGAAGGTAGAAATAAATAGGAATATAAGAGATCTGCAACATGAGATTATTATGTGAGATTTGACTTGTTTTTAATGTGGGCTTCTTTAAGCAAAGGGGCCCCTGGTGGCCCAGTGGTTAAAGCATTTTGGGTGCCAACTAAAAAATCAGTAGTTGAAACTCACCAGCCCTTCTCTGGGAGATTTACAACCTTATGTGGCTATTCTGCTCTGTCCTGTAGGGTGTACATGAGTCAAAATTGACAACAGTCATATTGGTTTTTGGTTATGGAAGCAAAGCTTTCTAGGACCTAAGCTAGTTTCTCTTCAATTCCTATTTATGATGATGATGATTATTATAATAAAAGACTTCTTTTCTGTCCCAGGTGGATGTTGTCAGGAAAATTTGAAGGTAAGGTCAAGAAGACAGTTATACTTGATGTCTTCTGTGATTATTTTTGGCTTGCTTATTCAGAGAATACATGCTATTCCTTAGTTTGTAGCTGCTATTAACTCTAGCCAGGCTTGATTGGTCCTCTATTTTCAGCAACACATACTGAACTGGTAAACATAAGCTATCTAATCAACATCATGTGTGAAAACAAGTCTAAACTTTTACAACTATCTCCTTGTAAAGTATGATTTTCCATCAAATCTGATGAATTTATAATTGCAGAAACTAGTCAGTTTGTAATTTCCTTATGTTCAGATTTCATTTATTTAAGAAATTTGACATAAATTGTATTGATCTCCAGAAGTGTTAAGAGCTTAAATTTGAAGATAGTTAAAAGTTAGACTTGTTACCAGTTTTTTGTCAAGAAAATAAATTTTTTGTGTGTAGTTTTCAGGACCCTCAGTCATCCAAATATACATTAGCATCTGTTGCTGTCTTCATCTTAAAAATGGGAAAAAAAAAAAAAAAAAAAGCCCCACCAGAAAACATGAATTTTTTTTGCAATTAAAATGAATCCCTTTGAAAATTTTGATGCATTGAATAACTTAAGATTGCAGTGAGTTGTTATATTTTCATTAAAGGATAATATCTGTAACTGGGTGGGTTCTGAAAGAGAGCCATTTCCAAAAAGTAAAGCAAATGCAGTAACCATGTGTTCCTTATGTGTTTAAGTATCTTTATTTTCACAACTTACATATTTAGTATTTTGTTTGTTTACTAATATTCACTTAAAATTGTTTATTTAGAAATTTCAAACAATGCTCTTAAAGAGATGAATTATATTTCTGGAAGCAAGAGTATAATCAACATGTAATAAAATAATCTTTTAAAATAAAATTCGACTTCCCTACTTAATCTTGGGCTTATGGGTGATTTTTTTTTTTAATACATATTTTGTCTAAGAGCTGATGCATTATTTAAAAATTAAACTGGTTGAATTTAGTAACTGATTTATAAAAGATAAAATAATTAGGCATTTCAATAGTTTCTAGCCACTAAATATGCTAACATATTTTGCCTCTAAGACTTTCTTTTCTTGGAGTAGAATAACAAGTCCTTCCATTCTTGATTTTTATTTGGTAGATTTACGGGAGCGCTGGTGGCACTATAGGATAAGAACTGGATTGCTAACTGCAAGGTTGGCAGTACAAATCTGCCAGCTACTCTGAAAGAAACATGAGGCTTTTCTGCTATGGTAAAGATTTATAGTCTCAGAATGCTTATATAGGGGTCACTATGAGTCAGAAAGGATTCAATGGCACTTAACAAAACACATGGATAATTTAAACATGAATGTAAGTTTTTTGGTTAAACTGAAGAAAATCATTTAGAAAGCGTTGACATTTAAGGGTACTGTTAAACCACAGACTGTTTGGGAATAACCTGAAGAATCCCTTGATTTCCACAAAAGATTAAACTAGAGTGTACGGTGAGTGTAAAGGTAGTTACATAGTTAAATAATGGCTTTCCTTAATCTTGATTAGCTTAATAGACTTGTTCTTTTCACATGATGCTATGGATAGTCAAGGAAGAGTTTAAAATGTAGGCACATGCTGTGTAGTTGGTATATATTTATATGAATAGGGCAACTTTAAAATGACACTGTTGTTGTTTTGAGTTGGTTCTGACTCATTGCGACCCTGTACAGGGTTTCTGATGAGCAGCTGGTGAGCTTGAACCACCGACCTTGAGGGTCAAACCGACCTTACGATTCAAACCGACCTTGCAGTCCAGCACATTGACCCAC